CATCTAGTTCATTAAATATACCATGTACCTTGCATATTAGATTTAGTCTTTTATGCTTGTATGTAAAGATCTGTAGTACATAATATCCCTTTTTGTTTAATGTTTGAAATGTAATATGATAATCGCAAGATATTAAATTTTATTTTTAAATCCTGAACTCATTCACGATCATACACACACCCACACAGACTGCCCTCCAGGTGTAGTATTTTCATTCTATCAGAAAAAAATATGTCTAGTTGCCTCATTAAAAACAAAACTGAAGATGCACACATGCTTATATGCACTTGTTGAGGGGAAACACAGATTATTCACTCTTGCTGTTATCAAAGTAGCTTCACATTGCAAATCCTCCATTTACAAATCACAGCACCTCAGCTTTACTTAATCTTGTCATGTTGTCACATTTGACTAGCCATGCGAACTGACCTAGAACTGTAAGCACGAGGCAGGCAAGCTGTCAAAGAGATAATGACAAAGATGCCAGAAAGGGCTGCCAGGGTTTTCACTGGGTGAGCGAGAAGAATTATTCCAACTCCATGAAAGAAGAACAGAGGACGATCAAAGTGTTTACTGATTTTTATCAGCTGATCCTGTGGCTGAACATCTTACCATGTAACTACCAAGAGCAGTAAAAGCAGTAACGAATACAGTTCCGTACAAGCCGTACACAGCTATTTACAGCTGCAGTAAAAGGCAGTGTAAACTGCCAACATAAAGGACACTCAAATTTATTGAAGATGTTTAATAATGTGCATTAGTACAACATTTCCTAGTCTTCCTAGTGCAAAAACTTCAGCATCTGCTATTTTTCACAGGGAAAGCAGAACAGGCTTAAATAAATACTAGCACAAAGACCTTACAGATGCTCCTTCATCTTTGCCTTTATCTGATTAGTGGAAGAGCATAATGCAATAATAAAGGCAACTTGAAGAAAATGGTTATTTTCCCAGCCAAATTGCTTCATGAAATAAAGTCAAATCCACTGGCAGCAGTACTAAAATGAAAGAACCTCTCACAACGGAACATATGTCTTTACATAGTACTTCAAAAAGACTGATGAAAGTATTTCTGAAACAGCATTTTTTTTCTAAAGCAGTTTGGATTTTATGTGCTTCTTGGAAATTCCTTTCAAAGAGTATAATCTGATCATGATATTGTACCAGACAGGGATAGGATTATTTCTGTACTGTCGCGGAGGTGGGCTGCATCAGGCATCTTACCCACTTTGGGGTACCCAATATTAACTAGTTTTTGAATCAGTAGCCCTGTGTCTTACTATTGTTTCATGGATTAAATTTGTGGCAGCGTTAGAGTTGATAGGCTAACGATGGTGTACAGGAAAATTGCAGTGATTTGTGCAATGGTCCTGATCAAACACTGCTAACATTCTGTTCAAACCACTTTGATACTACAAGCTCCAGTACTTGCTTCCTCAGTTTACCTGCTGTTATGATATGTTCTTCCTAGAGTTAAAAACTAAACTTTTCAGAATGTTTAATCTCTTTTGGAAACTGTATCTTTCACCAAATGATAGTCAATAATTTAATCTTGGACTGTCAACTTCTAAAGCCCTCTAACGCGCTTCTTTCACATGCATAAAACCCCACCTCCTGAGGATGACTCTGCTCAAAAATGGAAACAAATGCAGTCACAATTGGGTAGATGTTCAATCTATTTCCACCACACTTCATTTCAAATGCAAGTTCATACTGTACACTTGCCTCTCTTTCTCTCTTTTAACCCCCAAATCATAAATGAACATGCCGGCTGGGGAGGGGAAGGAAATAATGTCAGGCATGCAATGCCAATGGGTATTTCTGTTCCTAGATGGCAGTTGGATAACAGTTAAAAACTGCAGGAAGAAAATAAGAGTATCATAAATCTGAAATAATGACCCTGTCACATCTATAACACACACACACTCACACAAATATAATATGTAGATACACACTAATGCACGTCGAAAGGATACCCAAAAATAATCTTTTAAGAGTTAAATATTTTTACAAGATTTAAAGAAAATACACATTAAGCTCTATTTTGAAAAATGCATTAAAAATGCTAAAGCTTCAAAATAAATACTATCCTGTATTTATGTAATAAATAAAATAGAAAGTCTAGATCTCATTTTGAATTACAAGGAGGCTGATAGGACAAGATGCCAATTGCCCACACCAGTCAGAAGTCTCAGGATGAATTCCCTCCTAATAATCCCATGGTCCGAGATGTGCTATAGGAAATTCTTCAGAGATCCTTGTTAAAATTCCAGCATCAAACCTAAACAAGATTTCAGATAATTTCTCTACCTCTGTTCTAGTTCAGCTCTCCTTATATACTGTTTAAACATGCTTGCCAGAACAGATCGAGCCCAGAAGCACATAACTTTTTTTCTGAAGAGTAATTACTTTTAGCCTCAGAACATACTGAATTCAGTGAAGAGCAAAACATTTTAAAATTTCCCATGGTAGGATCCCTCCATCGGATACTGGCGTATGCTTCCTTTATATAATGTGCACAGAAGAATGGATGCACACAGATAAATGCAAATGTGTATATGCACCCACAATCCATAATTAACACATAATCATTTCTTCAAGATAATTTAATTTGCAAATCATAAAAAGAAAAAAAAAAATGTCAGGCAGCTGAGGATTAAGCCTCCCCTGCCAGGAATGGCAGTGCATTAGGAAGAAACAAGTCTGTATTACCAGAAAAAACACCCAAACTCTCCATTAATGCTAAAATTCCACCCCCAAGTTGACTTGTTATATTAGTATTTGAAATCCAAACACACAAGTTCTTTACCGAAAAAAAAAAAAAAGAAAAAAAAGAAAAAAGGCAAAACAAACACACATATTCTCACATTTCAAACAGAGAGAATGCCATATATTAGCAATAACTCCATCGTATACTGAACTGACAAACATTTGAATCAGTGTAATAGAGTTTAGGAGCACTACTAGCAAATAAAATTGTATTGTTTTGCATGCATCTGAAAACATACAGGCAGGAGTTTAGTGTGTGTCTAGATATATATAGATACACACATATACAGCTTGTTTTAAAACACAAAGTATCAGTAAATGAATTAGTTGAAAATCAACTTACTGGCTTGATAGACTAAACTTAAATTTGGCAGTTTGTAGCACACAGGAATATGGACCAGAGTGTGATTTTTTTATACAGACAAAAGTCCTTTTAATTCTGTATAAAAATTTGGGTATGAAAGGAATAGAAGGTACAGGCTTTCATTAGCTTGCTCCTTTAGATCAAGCAACAAAAAAGGTACCTAGAGTCACCTATTATTGATATGTTTATCATATGGTTAGAAACATACCTAACCAAAGATACTGTACTAACGAACCAGTTCAACAGAGTAAACTGAAATGCTTTCATAAACACATACACAGAGATCCCATTTCTTCTGTGTGAAGTTCACCGAATTTACTGATAAACAAGAATGTTGTATTTTTGACTGGAATGCTGAAGTAGGGACACAGGGCATATGTACATAGTCCTGAACACTTAAATTCTGCCTGTCCCAAAGAAATGTCTTTATTATAGAAATAAGTATTGTTTTAGAAGGGCTAACTCTGCAGAACAAGAAAAATATTGAAGACCCCATGCCTATCTCTAGAATTCGTAAGTTAAAAAAAAAAAAACAACAAAAACAGCAAAAAAACTAAAATCCGTTTCTGCATACTTACTTAACATGGCCTAGATTTGTAAGTCAGTAGTCTCCCTACCACAGCTCACTACAATCCAGAGCAGAGCAGGAAGAGAAAGGAAGACATTCTCTTTATAGGTACAGGTGAAATAATGAATACCAAAATCCAAGTCTAGTGAGATCAAGAAAGGGTCACAGGTTTTCTTCTCAAAATGTATTCTGTTACTGATCTAGGGTTCTGAAAAAGTTAGGTTAAATCAGGTTTTGTAATAGAAGAACTTTTCAAAATATCTCCCAAAACACTATGGCTAGCAAAAAGAGTATTACTCAGCAGATTTCAGCTTTAATTATCGTCTTCTTTTTTTTCATATGTAATGTTCTTTACTTGTTTTTACGTAGTTTACTATAGCATAAAGAGCAAAGTCTTCAACTCTCATTTATTCCACCCAATATATAACTCTCCATAATTAACAATTTGTGTCAGACTATATGTCCTTTCCATCCTTAAATATACACAGTTCCCATAAACTCAGCTGTTATTTTGCATAACATTATTGGCAGAATATAGCCCAGAATGGTTACTATTTACTTTGGCTTTTGATTTCTGATGTAGCATCAAACATCATCCTTACCTGAATTAAGGCTAAGATCGTTTGAACTATTATGTTCAAAAAACAACAGCAACAACAAATCCCTTGACATATTCAATATACTTATAAATCACCATTAATAAATACCATATTTAGAACACACTTCATTCTTCTGTACCCATGCTTACAACAACGATAGTAGAGTAACAAAGCAGCTGAGACCTTTTACTTACTAGAGGGTGATTCTCTGAAGCCATAGACCCTCTTTCCCACTATCTTATCCATAGGATAGACTTTGTGAGTGCTTTGGGGTCTCCAGTACCCTTGTGGGCAATATTTGCCCCCAAAGAGTTGGAAAAAAAAATCATTAAAACGATAGAACTTACAACGTAGTACATACATCTAAGCCTTTATTCTTTTCATTAATTCATTAGTGCTTTCGTTTTTTAAAGTTACAATCTTGATTGTACTGCACAGTAAGTTTTTATTAAAAGGTTTAACATATCCTTACTTTTCTAGGCCATGTAATACTTAAACTGGAAATAAAACACCAAAGTCAGCAAAATAACCTGAAGTCTTTTATATGGCAGAATCTAAAGGCTCAAGCTATAAATTAATGAAACTATTCCAAAGATTTATATTATGGACTTTCCTATGCTTTCTCTTACGATTAAATGCAGCATGTGAAAAAGGATATTGAGACCTGGATGGATGCATCAAGAAGTATCAATGATTGTTACCTGCAGAGGTGTTACAAGAAATTTCATCTGCTGCAACGAAGACGAATTGATTTCTGCAAGAGAAGATAAAATTCACAATACTGCTTGCTGACTGGGCAATGTGCTAGCTGCCAATTGACTTGATGTTTACAGATGGGGTAGGGTAAGGGTGCTTAATTTTCATGAATGTAGCAAGAAAAAGTGTTGAAGTATTTCAGTACTACAGAGTTTATAAGGATCATGAGGTAGACATGCTGGGATCTTTTAAATGAAATAATGGTGACATTTGGATATGGACTATGCACAAACTCTTGCATTGGAAGCTTCATGTTTTGTGTCACAGATATGTCATGCTAAAATATAGTTATAGAGGCTAATAAATAATCAAACGGTATTTATACTAATATAGACACTAAAGGGCACTAATGAAAAGTATGTAAAAAAAACTACTTAAAAATGCAAATTACTTAGCACAGCTTAAATGCGAGTATTTAAAATACTTTTTATATTTCTAATATGATTTCAACAGAAAATTAATTTTCTGCTATAAAAAATATGACACGGTATATTCTCATATAGTGCCATCCGAATACATGCAAAACTTTTTTGCAGAATCTTAGGACAATAAGCTAGAGAAATCATTATTTTGGTATAAACCTTCTCTTGCAAAACTCTTTTTTCACAGGTAACATAAAAAGAGAAATCCTAAATATACTAGCAGAGAGCTCCATTATGGCACAAATCCTGTTCTGTATTTTCTGAAGATAAAACAAACAGGATTTGGGATAGTGTTTGAGAATTAGCAATTTTTTTTCCTCTATATAGATATATATATAGACTTCGCGGATGATGTCTGTGTTATGCAGTATAAATGAAGAGCCTGCCTGAAGCTTTAACACTTAGGTGTTGTTTTACTTCAAACTACAGGTAGCTTCTCCAGCCTGCACTGCTAAGGTGAAAACCAGCATTTTTAGGTTGTGCACAGCTTTAATGCAAGAGTCTATAGAAAAGGAACTAGGTCTCGCTTGTACTAAGTCCTACCTGGAAAAGTCAGTTCTGCAGGACGATCAAAATCCTGTCAAGCACCAACTACTCTGAAGCTCCTACATAAATTTGTTTAGATCAGAAGCAAATATCCATGGGGATAACAGAACCTTGAAGGGTTAAGGCCTAGGAGAATAAAATCTTTTTCTATTACTTTACCTGCAATACACTAAAGATATTTTAAATTCTTGCTAAAAACCTGTGAACCTTGTTATTTAAAAGTTCACATTCTGTGGAAGGAAAAAAAAAAAAAAAGAAAGAAAGAAAAAAAAAAAAAGAGGAATCTGTGATCCATAGAACAGGGACAGGATTTGGTTAAGATTAAAACTACCATTAGCTTATTATTGCCTCTGCCCTATATCAGAAATTTTTGCACCTGTATTATTTTATTATGAATAGACTTACTGACCAAAATATATTTTTCATCTAACTTGCCTATTCTGAATTGGATGTACAGATTGATAATTTTGTTCTCTATTTTGTCAGTTGCAGGAATTTCAAACTAATGATATTTATCTTGCATAGAATCACTTAGAATGGCGATTCTAGGATGAGTTTAAAAAACTGAAGGGGTATAAATTAAAACAACCTGAAGGAGCATGACCTTATCATTATAAACACAAAGCTATTCTGTATTTCATAAGTAATATAATTTTTCACTACATTTACTCATATTATCTCTGGTATTATCAACTTTGGGGATAATAGGAAGGCCTATAGGAAAACTCAGAACACTAAATTGTATTTTTTTTAAAAAAAACATTTCCCATCACTTATTGCTGAAACTGTTCTGAAATCTCACTTTTTTTTTAAACCAGCTCTCTTTACATATAAAAACTAATGCAAAAAAATTAATGCAAATTGTACCTACTGAAAAAAACTACTATAAGCATTCCTTGATAAACAGTTTTGATTCATATAGGAAGATCCTATTTGCCTTAAATTTTGCAAAAGCAATCTATATTTCACAATTCCATAAATCAATTTGAAAAGTAAGGCAAAAAGTACATATCGTTCAGTATAGCAATTAAAATGAATTAAATGATAATATATTAATTCCTTAAACGGACAGTCAGTTTAGATGCTGTAGCTCAATGAGACAGTATAATTTATTTTGACTACTTAGGTATTCCTCATAATGATTTCAAGTGCTTTTTTAGTAGTTTGATGGCTTTAATGTTTTATAGTGACTGATTTTTTTTATTTACTTGAATTCTATAGTATTACTTACACAGCCTCAGAGGAAGATCTGATTTCTGTATGTCTCACCTGCTGTCCAAAGCAAACATTTCTTAGCGTGGCCAATCCCATAATCAAGAGAAGTTGTCCTACTGAGCTCCATTGGCACCACAGTACTATTTTTCTTAAAATACATGGAAAGCAGACCTGGAAAAGGCCAGCTAATCTAACTCGGTCCTTTCCTAATGTAGGATTGCTCCCTTTAAAGATCAGTTTTAATAGTTAAGTGCATTGAGTATACTAGCTACTAAAATTGATCTTTAAAGCTAAGTGAATTGATTGTGCAAAAGAATCTCACAAATGAGGTAAGCTGGAACTTCCCAAGGCATTTTAGGTTGTTTTCCTGTTTATTATCACTTTCAAATTGCACTAAATAAGTTTTTAGTGGTTTAAAAGAATACCAGAAAATGTAAGCACACCCAATTTTATTATACAAAAAGAGACAAAGAATTGTATCAATCAATTAAATTTGTATATTATGAACTAAAACATAAGATTAAGTCTTCACTGCTCATTGTTTGAAATTTCAGATGTAAAACAACATGTACATAAAATCCAAAGGATTTTATTCATGGCGTAGCTATTTGTTTGGGGTAACACAGAAAGGCCAACTGAGAGAGTCACATGATAAATATATTGGTCATGACACAGGCATTGATCTGAATGCACAGTTGGCCGTACCTGACATGCCCAATATTTACATGCAAGCCCTGCCAGCGCAGGAGCCTCTGGCAGACCCAGCGACCTGGGGCAAACCCCAACGTGTGGGCAGGACCACGGACTCTGGGGCTTCCCCACAGCTGGTTCCACCTCCGTGGCTACTTCCCAGTGGCAACCACTGCTGCAGGGGCTTACCTCACCTAACCCCACAGATCCCTCACTATTTATACTAGGAAACTGAAGGCTGCTATAAAGCTTTGCCATGGTATGGTAGCAAAGATATCTTTAAAGTTAAATGTGCTTTAGTACTTTTGAGAAGGATCTATATCACCCCAATTTCCAAAAAAGGCTCAACACTGCTTGAATTCTTATGCCTCGCTTCCCCTAACACCCGACCAGGATCCTCACAGAGCTGCACGAATGTCCCAGAGCCTCATGACATGAACCTTTACATAGTAGAGAAATAGCCACTGCTACTTCTGCCCAGAAGGTCTTCTCCATGACTAAAATATTAGATGCTTTCCCTCTCTCCTCCTTGATGCTGGTAGCTTGTGAAAACAGCCCATACTACGGCATCAAAATGAATTAAAGAAAAAAAAATTAACCACTAGAATCCGTGACTTATCTTCCCTATGGCTTTTTAAGATACAGAAGCACTTATGTGAAGAAACCCTACATATGAATGAATACCTTCACTCTTCCCTTCTTGTGACCAATGCCATGCACGGTAGAATGGGGAACAGCTCTAGAAGAGTCTTTGACCAGGGCATCCTGCCAACATTTTTCCCTTAGCGTCTTTTCCTCAGAGAAGCTTGGAAAAAAGTGAGGATTCCATATATATTTTCTGTGCTGGACTTATTGTAGAAGATCTTAGATCACAAGATCTTTGATCAGCTACATTAGGGTTTATGTTCTCAGGAGTGATTGTCAGCCATTAGGCTTCTAAAAATTCATGTTTAGATGGAACAGGGCACTGGCACTTGGAATCCAAGCACTCTTTGAAAGTTTTGGGGATGACAGAAGATGGGCCGAAAAAGTCCAGCAGCTACACTCAAAGCATACTCTGCAGCAGCAAACATCAGAGAGGACAGAAATATATATATATATGTGTATATATATATATTTTCAGGTTCACTTGATCACCTCTGTTCTGAAAGTAGCCTATTCTAAATTTAGCCAGCTCATTGATTTACAACATTTAGAAAACAATATACTAAACCAAAACCAAAGCAAGTGAAGAATAGGAATTTAAATGAAGACTGACTAAGGTTTTTCATGATAGACATTACTTAGTGAAAAACACTACTGATGACAAATGATGTAATCGAATGTTATGTACACACAGAAACTAGGCCTTCTGGGGTGTCCAAAACCCTTTTTCCTCACCATAGATTAATTTCTTCGGCATGGTTATAGCAGCATAAGTTAATTAGAAGGCCCAGAACATTTCATAAACACATTTTGCCAGTACTCTCCCTTGCCAAAATGGTGCATCCTCCCATTTTTAAGAATAGCTGTCTCCTATCATCTTGCTTCTAACATATCACCTGTAACTGTGCTGAGGTTATACAGAAGAAAAAAAAAAAGCCCAAACTTTTATATATTCATTTTAAAGCTCACTGACCTACTATAGAAGCTGCATATGATTACTAAATTTAAATTTAGCTACGTCTGTATATGTGGTATTTAGTGGAACCATATCGGCAAGTTGTTAACTACTGTGTAATGTTTTTAGCTTTCATTTCTATGGAAATCTTTTCTACATCATGTTTAAGAAGTCTTGAAGGTCTTTTGGAATCATTTTTAGTTTGCACGCTCTGAGTTCGTTTCAGGTTTGTAACACCTGACATTCCAGTTGTGGGGGGATGTACTTCACGGGCACCGCACATGCTCCTTCAGGAATAATTAAATTAGGTACATCAGAAGGGCTGTTTAAAGAACGTTTACGAATTTCCTGGAAACTTTTCCCAACTACCTTGATGTCTCCCAACCTCATACACACTACACCAGCAAGCTCAGCACCACAGCATCAAATGCTCCAAGCAGACAGAGAGGTTTTGGTCTCACGCTGACTTTGATACAGGATTGGAACCTCAGGCTTCATCACATATAGAAAGCAGGGAGTTTCTCT